CCCGTGCACCCGTGGGCCACCCGTCCCTCCCAGGGCCTGCTGCTCTCCCAGCCCCTGGCCCAGACCACACCTGGCCAGCCACACTGGGCTCTGGTGGAGGACACTGTGAAGCCAAAACAGCCCCGTGAGCTGCTGCCCGACGGGCTGCCTCCTCCTGGCCCTCGCCGGGCCTCCACTCCCTGCAGCCCTGCACTCCCCGTTCTGTGCCCCCCCTCGCCAGCCCGTGTCCTGGCCTGTGTCCTGGCCTGTGCACACCTGGGGCCCTGGGCCCGCACCGTTCCCGCGCACGTCCCTGCTCCTGGTCGCAGCGTCAGACGCCCTCGGAGCCTCCTCCAGAGGGGCCAGCGAGCTGAGCTCCCTACGGGACACCCTAGGCTTGGTGCTCCACTGTGGGTGCCGGGGGGCGCTGGCCTCTGCACCTCACCAGACTGAGCCTGCTGGCTGGCACCCAGCGCCCTGCCAGGGTTGAGTGAGGAGAGCGTGACTGATGGGCAGGGAGGAAGCCCTCCCCAAGCTGCTGCCTCAGGGGGGCTGGGACTCACCCCGCCTGGTGGAGGCTGGGCAGCCCCTCCGGGCTGGGACCCTCAGGAAGGCCTGGGGTCCGGCCCACTCGGCAGAAAGCTCCTGAAGTAAACACGCGTGATCGAAGGGGTCCCGTCCGTCTGTCTAAGGCCGGGGTCTGGGCTTTGTGGAGATGGGGCTCAGGCGGGGGTGTAGATAAGGCCGCGTGTGGGCAGGAGTACGGGTCAGGGGGCTTGGGGGGGCTGCCCAGGACCGTCTTTGCCCCGGGCCTCAGGCAGCGTCTCGGGCCCAGAAGCAGCGCGTCTGCAGCGCTTTTCACTGCTTCCCAGACCTGGGCGGCTCTCGACCCCTCACCTGGCTTTTGCCTTTCAAGTCGCCCCACGAGGGTCCCCAGAGGAGGCCTGGGCCCCGGAGAGACAAATGGGCTGGAGAGGCCTCGAGCCTCTTCTCCGTGCGGGGTCCATTTCTAGGGGTTTCCTGTCCCTGGGTCTGGCATGTTGGGGGGCACTGTCTTCTGTTTTCACGTTAAAGCCCCTGTTGGGCTTGGACCCTGGGTTTGTGTGGGGTTCATGTCCCAGCCGAACCCAGGGCCTCCTCTTTGGTGAATCCTGAAGCCGCCTGTCCGGTGAGGGGGCCCCGCCCACTGAAGGGAGGAGGGCAGACTCCCAGCTGATCAGCTACCATCTGTCCTCACGCACGGCCACTCCAGGGCGCTGGCCCGCAGTGCTCTGGGTCCTGTGACCTCAGAGCAGATGTGCCCGGATGAGGCGCGGACGGAGGCCAGCGGCTCGGGCTCGGGTCCCTGCCTCCCCAGGGGCCTCAGGCAGCCCCAGGAGTGTAGGGTCTGTGCACTGCTCACCCCACGTGCCCGTCCCCTTTGGGGCCCCTCAGGCTGAGGATGGGCCCCTGCCTGCAGTGGTGTGTCCTCCAGGTCCCCGAGGCAGGGGGAGAACTGTGCTGGTGGAACTGCCCCCCACCCCCACCCCATCTTCTTGCCAGCACGCTTGGGAGGGGCCAGGGCTCCAGCCGCGTGTGGTCACTCCCAAGGGGCCAGGTCAGCCCAGGGCAGGCCCTCCCCAGCCCCACGGTGTGACCGACTGAGACCACGGGGGAGACGCCTGCTTCTGGTCCACATCACTCCCTCTCCTGTGTGAGCAGGTCCCACCCCTGCCCCCTCTCCCAGGTCTAGAGCCCCTCAAAAACTCGACCCGTCTTCCCTTTGTGTATCACATTTATTGACTCCCCCAGCCCCCCAGTCCCCCCAGTCCTGTGGGGAACGGGCCTCGGCTGGGCTGGGCTCCATCTTCCCAGGCTGGTAGCCGGCAGCCGGGAGCGCTCCCTGCCCAGAGCTGCCCGGGGCAGGCCAGCGGCTAGCAGAGCTGGCTCAGCTTCAGCAGCAGGGCCAGGCAGG